AGCCACAGCAAACCATAGCAGAACCTACGGGGTCACCTGATTTCGAACCATCCGTGTAAATGGGAACTACCGAGCCACAGCAAACCATAGCAGAACCTACGGGGTCACCTGATTTCGAACCATCCGTGTAAATGGGAACTACCGAGCCACAGCAAACCATAGCAGAACTTACGGAGTCACCTGATTTCGAACCATCCATGTAAATGGGAAGAGAGGAATGGTTTGAAAGATGTTCAGCAAAAGAAGACGGTACTTCCAATCGGGAGTATCCGCCTTTCCCAGATGACTGAAGGAAAGGTCACAGGATGGGATGGTAATAAGCCATGGTGGAATGAGCTGATCATTGGGGACAGCAATGTCATCCAATGCCAGACCCAATTCAGCCAGTAATGCCCGGATACGAAGGCCAAATGGAGGAATAGCAGACCGTGGTGGGATGCCGTGGTAAGGATCGAAGCTTAGTAACATTGTAAAAAAAGTTGCAAATGATGGAGGTGAAGAGAAGGTTCGTGGGACTCAGTGTACAAACTCTGGATTGAAGAAGTGCGAAAAGCACCGGTGCAGAGCCGAAGCCCCAGATGGTAAATGGGGTCCAGCATCTTCAGGGCCAAGGTCCTGGCGGAACCATAGACCAAAGACCCATAGTCCAGTTTGGATCGAATAAAAGCACGATAGATCCTGAGCACAGAACATCGATCTGCTCCCCAAGAGCTGGAAGAGAGGACACGGAGGATGTTCAGAGCCCTTGCACACTTGACACGCAGCTGCTTGATGTGTGGAATGAAGCTAAGCTTACGGTGAAATATAAGCCCCAAGAACTTTGCCTCAGGGACCACACGAATGACTATATCACCGAGACGGAGCTCGGGATCGGGGTGGAGACCCCGTTGGCGGAAAAAATGCATGCAAACGGTTTTAGAAAAAGAGAATTTAAAACCATTTGCAGTGGTCCATGTCAACAACTGATTGAGGGCAGTTTCAAGCTGCCGCTCAATAAACCTCATGTTCGACGACTGGCACGAGATGTGGAAGTCGTCAACGTAGAGCCCATTTGCAACAGTCGGAGGAAGATTTGTTGTGATGGCATTAATTTTAACACTAAAAAAGTATGACACTCAAGACACAGCCCTGAGGGACTCCAAGTTCCTGTGGGAAGGAATGGGAAAGAGTGGAACCCACACAGACTTGAAATCGCCTGTTCTGTAAAAAATTGCGAATAAAAATGGGTAAATGGCCACGCAACCCATAGGAGTGGAGGTCCTGCAAAATTCCGTACCTCCACGTAGTGTCATAAGCCTTCTCAAGATCAAAGAACACAGAAACAAGGTGTTCTCTCTTGAGAAAGGCTTCCCTGATCGACGTTTCAAGTCGAATCAGATGGGCTATGGTGGATCGCTGTCAATGGAACCCACATTGGGTGGGCGAGAGGATCATGTTTGATTCCAGGAACAAACAAGACGAGCGTTAACCATCCTCTCTAGAACCTTACAAAGACAACTAGTCAAAGCGATGGGACGATAATTAGAAGGAATCTTGGAATCCTTCCCAGGTTTGGAGAAAGGGAGGACAATAGCCTGTCGCCAAGCATCTGGAAAAATATGTTCCTGCCAGATCCGGTTAAAAATAACCAGAAGAATAACAAGAGAGGCAGGAGAGAGATGGCACAACATCTCATAATGAACATCATCAGGTCTGACCGATGTACTGCCAGATCGATGAAGAGCAAGTTTGAGTTCCACCATTGTAAAGGGGCGATTATAATCATAGAGATGATCGGCCCGAAAAGAAAGAGGCGAATGCTCTGCCCGAGACTTTATGGCCAAGAAGGCAGGGGAAGAAACAGAAGTGCTAGATGCACGAGAAAAGCTCTGGCCGAGAGCATCAGCAATGCTCTGGACATCAGCAACTTCCTGGCCATTGGAGAGCAAGATGGAAAAGGGATGGGAAGCATACCTCCCAGTGACTCTCCGAATCTTGTCCCATACAGTTTTGGAACTGGTGGTAGAAGAGATGCTAGTAGTGAACTTTATCCAAGACTCCTTTTGGCTTTGACATCGAACCTGCTGAGCATGGGCATGGGCCCGCTGATAAACAATGCGGTTAGAAAGAGTGGGATACCGTCGAAAGGTATCCCAGGCCCATTTTTGAGCCTTCCGTGCCTCCTGACAGGCAGGACTCCACCATGGACGAGGATACCGTGGAAAACGTGTCGAGGTCTTAGGAATAGAATAAACAGCTGCCTGGACAATACAGTCAGTCACTGCCACCACACAATCGTATATTGATGGTAGACAGACGAAGGT